AGGTGGCATCTGGCTCCCTGCCACTCACAGCCTGTTCCGTGGCCCCTTCGGTGTCTTCCTGGCACAGGCTGGGAGGCTGCTACAGGTCTCATCTTGGCAAGGCCCTTGGGTGCGTTGGCCAAGACAGCAGCTCTCAGGGTCTGCACTGCTGCCGGGCGAGGCCGTCCCACGTCCACCCCCGACCCCAATGGGGAGACGATGGCCCACAGGCTCCTGCACAGCAGCTGGGAGTCCTGGGATTCTGACCTTGGACAGGCCGCTCACAGCTCTGGTGGCCTGGAAGGCGGATTGAAGCTGGCAGGTCACAGCCAGGCACCTGCTCCCCAACCTGTCCAAATGCCTCACAATCATTAATGCTTCTGGGAGGGAGGGAAGAGCCATGATCCCTGTTGACAGATGGGAAACCGAGGCACAGAGCGACTACGTGGCCCATGCAAGGTCACCTACGTGGCAAAGCGGGGGGTGATCCCAGGTCTCCCTAGTCCAAGGCTGGTGCCCTAAACCACTGGGCCATTCTTCCTCCGTGGGGCCTAAGTCTGCTGGTCCGTGCTCCCTCCCCAAGCCGACTGGGCCTGCTGTGTCTGTGGAGGCAATGCAGGCTCGGTTCAAATTGACTGAGGCAGGCGGGGAGAGCCCGGGCGAGGGGGGAGAGCCGCTCTCCCCTTGCCACACCCCCTGCCACTTGTGATGCCTGTCAGCGCCTCGGGAGCAGGGCCGGGGGACTCGGAAGGGAGCGTCATCCGTCGCTCCTGCCCCGGGGGCCCAAGCACAAGGCCCAGCCCTGTTCATGGCTGACCCCGCAGTGTGTTCCGAGCCGAGCACACATGGAGTCCGGATTGCAGCGCTCCCCTGGCCTGGCGGGCTCCTTGCTGTCGAGTTCCGATCTCACGGGGGGGGGGGATCTCCTCTCTCCCCGGCGCAGGCGGGTAAGGCTGTGGAGCCGGTGACAGACTTCTTGCCCGGATCCAGCTATGAAATCCGCTCCATCGTCACCATCCAGGACGCAGAGACAGCTGCCACGTCTCTGAGGTCTCCCACCAGAATAAGGACAGGAAGGACATTGAGATTCGCGTGATCGGTGCGTTGCCACCCGCGCGGGGCCAGCGAGCTATGGGCACCCGCTAGCCCTGCCACCTGCCTGTGCCCGGGCCGCACAGGCTTGGTGTCTCCCCTCTCCCTCTCCGCCGGGCCTTCTCCTCTCCTGGGGGCAGGCCCCAGGGCGGGGCTGCTGACCCCGCTCCCCTGTGAACCGCCTGCAGAGCGCGGCTTTGTGAGGTTCCACACCGGCCTGACCGACGTCGAGCTGGCCGAGGTGCACAAGAGCCACACCATCCAGGTGCAGCTCGAGGCCTATCCGCCGCCAACCATCCTGTGGCTGAAGGACAACGAGACCCTGAGGGTGGGGAACAGCAGCGAGTTCGCCATCACCAGCAAGAGCCTGTCAGAAACCAGGTGGGTGGAACCAGGCCCTGCCCAGACATGGCTGTGGCCGGGGCCCAGCGAGAGAGCCACTCTCACCCAGCGTGGAGCAAAGGGGTGGGAATTCTCCATGCGCCGCGAGGCGAGGAGGCCTCCACAGCGATCCTGACTCGATGGTTTGCTGTGCGGTTTCTGTGTACGCCTCGGCTAGGTGGGCGGGAGAGAGTCACCCAGGGAGCCTCTTCCCATCTTCACTGTGTGGAATCCTTTCCTCAGGTACCAAACCACTCTGACCCTGGTGCGGGTGAAGCAGAAGGAAGGGGGGTTCTACACCGTCCGGGTGTCCCACGAAGACGACACGCAGGAGCTGTCCTTCTACCTGCAAATTAACGGTGAGGAGACAGCGCCACCGACCTTTGATACCCACGGTGTTAGACAACCTAACAGCCCCCTCCTCAACTCTCAGCTGGACGCAAAGACCCGGCTGCTCAGACTCACTGGACCCCTGGGAAGAGGGGGCATCTCCTCGCTCCCAGAGGGGGTGGGGCCTTGCGGGGAGGGGAGGAGCCTCAGGTGGGAGGGGCGGGGCCAGGCCTAGCCATCTCAAGCATCCCTCAGTGTTACCAAGAATGCGCCACGCAGGGCTTCGGCAACAATTTAAAGGGCCCAAGGCTCCAGCTATAGCGGCAGCAGCAGCCCAAACTCCTGGGCCTTTTTCCCCCCACATTGTCGAGCCAGTTGTTTCCATTTGGTTCATCGGGCGGCAGTGCGCACCATGCTGCCTGTGTGTGTTCCAGCCTACGGAGGGTCAGAGGGCCAGTAGTTTTTTGCAGGAAATTTTGGGGCAGGAAAGTTGTGGAGGGTTTTTTTTTTTCTTCTGATTTGTTCCAAATCTTTAACCAAAACCCGTATTTTCATGGTCCTCCAAAGAACTTAACCAAAAAACAAAAAAAGTTTTGCTGGAAATATCCCCCCTCCACCTCCGCTGTTCCACTTTCACAGTGTGGTGCGACTTGTGGGCCCCGAGTGAAAGGGGCGTGGGTCTAGCAGGGAGCTGAGCCCACTTGCATTGGCTCTAAATTTGGCCCTTAAATTTCAGCCCGTCCGTGGTGGAGAAGAGCTTTCTGCCCATCTCCTACCAGGTCTCAGGGCAGCATGGAAGGGAAACCTGCTGCCCGCCCTGGCTCACCCTCCGCCTCAAGGCAGGGGACACGCTCCTCCTTCATTCTAGCAGGCCATGAAGTTGTGTGGCTCTTGCTGAAAGCACCGAGACTGTGCACACCACCACCCCAGGCCTCTCCACAGCCCTCTGTAAGGGGCTACTTGGATGGTTCCTGCCAGTCCCTCCCCCTCGCTCTCTCCGAACACACGCAGGTGCTTTGGGACCTCGCATGGCTCCATTAGCCAGCCTTTCCACCTGCCACCCCCCCGTCGCTTCCCTCCCGCGGGCAAAGCACACAGCTGACTCTCTCGTCTCTTCCCAGTGCCCGCCAAGGTGCTGCTGCTGAAGGAGAACAGCAACACCAGCAGCGGGGAGCAGACAGTCACGTGCGCCACAGAAGGGATGCCCGAGCCGGAGCTGAGCTGGTTCACCTGCAGCGACATCAAAGGGTGAGGGGGCCAGCGACCCACAGCATGCATGCTTTCCTTTCCTGGATCCGCCTTGACAGCCCCTGGGGGTGGGTGTCCTCTCACCCAAAGTGCCCAATAGCACCTCCTGCTGGGAGAAACCGGGAACCGGGCAGCGATGGGCATTTCTTGCCCCATTCCCAGACCTCTTACACCTGCTAGGGAAAGCCGGGACTGAATTTGCCTGAGTAATTGATGCAGTGGTGTGTCTACTTAGAGCTCCAGGAGCTCAGCCCTGAAGGGTTTGAGATCTCTGCTAGTGGAATAATGAAGATGGAGCTCTGGTTTTTCACCTCAGTGACTGTATTACCAGACGGGAGCCCCTTTGCACTGGCGTACAGACACCACACACCTGCCGTCCCTTCCCAGCACTCTTCGGGCATGTCTACACTAGGAATTAATGACTCCAGGTTTTACAGAGTTGAAATAGTGTGTCCCCACTGTGAGGAAGCCTTGAAATTAGTCTGAGGCAGGCTCCGTTAATGTGGGTGCGCTACCTCGACTTAGAGCCCCAGGAAGCACTGGGGAGTCATTCATCTGAATTGCTCTGGGGAGTCGTTATTTCAGTGTAGTGGCACCGGAGCGTCCTCACTACTGCTATTTCGAAATAACTATTTTGGAATTAGTGTTATTCCCCAAGGAAAGCGGGAGCACAGACTTCAAAATAAGCGGCCCGTTATTTCGAAATAATGGGTTTGGCGATGTGGACACTCCGCTTATAAATTCAGCCTAAGGGAGGTTATTTTGAAACTAGCCAATTAGCCCGTCATAAGGCGGGATTTTCAGGTCTCTCCTCCGCGTTGGTCTTCTCTCCTGAGCCTCCGGTCTCTTGCTCCATCTCTCTCTCTCTCCTCTTTCTACTGCCTTCCCTGAGGCCTTTAATATCCTTAGGTGGAGCTACATTAGATGAGTGGTAGATTAGAGGACAAGAAAAAGTATTTGGAGAATGGTCAGAAGAGATAACAGTTGAGGATATGTTTGTTTCTAGTTCCTGAGTAAAATATACTCATCCAAGTCAATAATGACAGTAGCCTTTTTCATCTAAAACTATAAACAAGGCACCAGAATTACTAGTGTTTTTACTACCATGTGATATAACTCTAGTCTAAAGATGCTGAAAACCACCAGTGGTCCCCAGTAGCTTGTTTAGTCATATTTTCAATTGTTTCTGTGTTGGTGCAGCTTTTAGGAATTGTGGTGGGGAATTTTAGGGGGGAAAGGTTGCCCTCTTTCCTGATTTGGAAAGAATAAAGGTTCTAGCAAAATAGCTGTTTTGAAAAGACAAAGGCATCATATATACAGTAGCCCAATGTCTGAGACTCTGTAATGCTGAAATGCTGGCTGTTCCCTCTGGGAGGCGCTGTTGCCTGAGTCATGTCCTTCGCCCCCTACAGTAGCGCTCAGCTGACTTCTGCACCACTCAGTCAGGATGCCGTGGGGGAGCAAGCAGCACAAGTGGACGTTTGGGCCCTGCGCTTCCCATGCAGCACCAGTGTGCTGCATGGGGACTGCGGCACCCAGATCAAAAGATGCTTTGGGTTCTATGTACCTCTAGTGACTATGGACCAAATATACACTGTCTGCAAATAACAAAGCTAGGAACTGATCCCAGATCTCCTTAGTTCTCCAGTACCTTAGCTACAAAACAATCCTTCCTTCTTTCTTCCATGGCCCTAAAGCATCAAAACCAAACATAAGCACTATACAACTTCTAATTATATGCAATGGCTGGAGAGTGAAGATGGTGAAGAATATAATGTTCCTATCAGAAAAGTTAACCAGCAGATAGTACTTAAAGCAGTAGTGTAAAAATTAAGTGTGAATGTGCCATCTTATGCTTCAAGAAATAGTCCAAGATCAGTCCTCAATGCCTGGACAGTGGAAATAGTTTAATAAATCCTGATCTCACTTTGTTTCAGCCCATAAATAGCTAAGCAAACCAAAATCCCTACAAATATTGAGATATCCAGGTTTATTAGGTTCACCAGCATGCCAACTTTTCTGAGTCTCTTTGGGTTCCAGTGTAATTGGAACATACATTACTAACGGAATGTGAAAGTTGCAGATACTGTTGGTTGACTACAAGACAAGTCTGGAGAGTGTTAGTTTGAAAACAGAATTCCAAGAGTTAAGAAAGTCAAACATCAAATGTTTTATTCCTAGATTTATACTAAGATTATTTTTGTTTGTAATCAGTAAATTGACGGCTATTTTCATATTAAATATGCATTGGGTAAATTCGATAGAAACTTAATTTAGTTGGAAAATTTTTATTTTAATTAAATTGTAAGTCATTCTTAAACAAAATTCTGCATTAATAATTAAACATTTTCATTTGTATTTAAGTCTATTATAGCTGTCTAGCTCTTTTGGCAGCACATTCTTCAATTATGTCATTAAAGTCCATTTCTTTATACAGGTCGTTTTCAATCGATATAATCGAAAGACCTACAAAACGCTCGTGGCTCATAGTAGATCTTAAGTAATTCTTTATTAGTTTCAATTTAGAGAAACTTCTCTCTGCCGAAGCTACTGTCACTGGACTAGTTAGAAGTATCCTAAGAGTGATATAAATATTAGGATATGTGTCTTCCATATTGTTCGAACAAATTATTTTCAAACAATCATGAACTGTAATACAACTGTCTGGAATAATTCTACAAAAGTTCTGCAACTCTTCGTAAAGATCTAAACCTTCAATGTCACAGGAGTCACCATCTTGTAGATTGACATGAAGATCCATACAATGTTTTTTTAGTGTG